CCTTTTTTTTTTAGAGACATCTCCCAGAGAGAACTTCAGGTTTATGGGAAATGATTGACCCATGGACTTGGTACACAACTTTTATCCTGAAAATTCTGTTCTATCCTCACTTGTGCTGAATTCTTGGCTTCCTTTTGCCATGTCTTTCCTGCTGTGTTTATTTTTTAATTTGGGGGTAGCTATCTCTTCAGTAGCTTTTGAGAAGAGGTTAAAAATAAAACTAAGACTTATCACATAATTTTAAGGCCGACATAATTTCCCATCCACTTTTTGAAGTCATATTTGCCTGTCATCTTCTCTGCACTGTTACTTTTGAGAAATCTGATACCATTGATTCCCAACTCCTAATGCATAATCTCTTTTTCTCTTTCTCTGATTACATTTAGAACCATTTGCTTGTCTCCTAAATTCTGAAAGTTCACAACGATATTTCTTACGTGGTCAATTTTTCTTTCTGGTACCATTGCATCCTCATGAGTTCCCTTCAATCTGAAGACTTGAATCATTTGTTCTGGGACACATGCTAAAACTGTTTTCTTTGAAAAATTTCTTCTCTTAATGTTCTCTGAGGGCTGGGCATGGTGACTCATGCCTGTAATCCCAGCACTTTGGGAGGCCAAGGCAGGCGGATCACCTGAGGTCGGGAGTTTGAGACCAGCCTGACCAACATGGAGAAAGTAAAAATAAAAAAATTAGCCTGGCGTGGTGGCACATGCCTGGAATCCCAGCTACTCAGGAGGCTGAGGCAGGAGAATCGCTTGAACCCAGGAGATGGAGGTTGCAGTGAGCCCAGATCGCGCCATTGCACTCCAGCCTGGGCAACAAGAGTGAAACCCCATCTAAAAACAAAAAAACAAAAAAACGACAACAAAAAACCTGTTCTCTGAAATGCTTCTGATACATGTTCCCCTCCAAGGTACCAGTGAGTTTTCAAGTTGCAAGCAATTCTCTGGAGTTTATTGTTTCCTCTGCTATCTTTTCCAAAAAGGTAATTCTAGAATAGAAATCTGAAGCCAGAAAGAAAGGAAGTTTTCTTCCATCCAGTAGGAAACTGTACCTCAAATACCATTTGACTTGAACGTTCTGGAGGCAGAAAATTTACCACAGAGGATCTCATTCAGACATGTTCGCCTCCGTGAAGCCCTAGCTGACATATCCACCATCCCCTGAGCCACCAAGAAAGGAAGCGAGGGGAAAAAAAAAAGGAAAGGAGGGGAAGGGAGAGAAGGAGGAGGGAAGGAAAGGAAAGGATAATGAGAAGGGAAGGGGGGGAAAGGAAATTAATGAGCCTCTACTTGGTATTCATACCCCTACCAATGATATTGTGGCCATGATAGAACTTTAACTTTAGAACCATTATCTTTGTCTACAGGAGTTTCTCCCACAAAATTGTAAGCGTTAGTAGCAGAGGTAGAATATATAATTTAGGTTTACATTCCTAATGTTTAGCCAAGTTTCTGCCACTCACTGGGTACTGAATAAATGCTTGATGAATAGTGATTATGATCTAACTACTGTTAGTTCTGCAGACTGCACACTTGATATCAGCCAGTGGTACTTCATCTGCACCTTGCTCTCTCAGGCTATAGAATCAGCAGTAGTAATTATTATCAAGTTCTTCTTTTCTAAGAACAATTGGCAGGGCAAATTATAAGCTGGTCTTCTATTTCAGAGACAAGTGCAAAATAGAGCATGATCGTTTGATATCAAATATAGATCAGTGATTCTCAAACTAGAATGTCTCCAATTGTTAAATAGGGTAACATTTAATTTGCTTAATTGCTGCTGCTGCTGCTGATGATGATTATTATTATTTTGCTCTATCACCCAGGCAAGAGTGCAGTGGTGCGATCATGGCTTACTGCAGCCTTGACCTCCTGGGCTCAAGCAATCCTCCCACCTCAGCCTCCCAAGTTGCTGGGTCTAAAGGTACATGCTACCACTCCCGGCTAATGTTTGCATTTTTTGTAGAAACATCATCTCCCTGTGTTACCCAGGCTGGTCTGAAACTCCTGGCTCAAGTGATCTGCACACCTCAGCCTCCCAAAGTGCTGGGATTATAGGTGTGAGCCATCATGCCCAGTAATTTTGTTTAATTTTAATGTGTATATTGTATGCCATAAAATTCTTATGTTAAGCCTTGGTGTTACAAAATTAACGCAAACAATGAATTCAAAATCATACACTAATATCTCAAATTTAGAAATTTCACAAGTATTTTCCAGAATCACTGCATCATTAGAAGTACATACAGTCTCTTGTAATGTTAATGTCACGGTGCTTGAACACATGAATTTAAGAAGTGAAAAATCCCCATGGAAATTCACTTCATAAAACCAACATCCTGAAATGACCTACAGTTTTCCAGATCCTCTATCCAAATCCTCAGCAACTGAGCTCATTCTGAATGAAACTGCATGAATAGGATTACAAAAGAAATGTAATAGAAATCTGAAAAATAAGTAGTCAGTTTTTTGAAATGTAATTTTAAATAAGGCAGCCCAGTGAGGAGGCTCAAAGGGGAAGTCAGTCTTTTATGAAGACTTCTCTCTCTTACGGGATAGATTATAATCAATTCAGATGATTTAGGAAATAAGACCTATAAACTCAGATATGATTGACAATAATCTATTGCTCCTACTTATTAATAATCTGTTTTGTCTTTAAATCATAGAGGCAGATTTAACTATAAATCTTACAAACCAAAATTTAAATAGAAACTGTAGATAGGAGAGCTTGTAGACATTCATTTTTTTAAAAAAAACTATCAGACCACATGATATGGAATGAATGAGGATGCCAAATGTAATAATGATGGTTATAATTGAGAAATTGTATATCTTAAAAATAGAAGTGTACACTTACAGAAATGATTTGGAAATGTTCAAAGCACCTAGATTAGAAATGAAGACAAGAAGAGTTAATGCTTTATTGGATTTATCTTATTTATAATTTCTCTTTGCAGTTAGATTGTCTCAGAACTTGTTAACTATCTTCCTCTGATTTGATAGAAATACTTACTTACTTGTCAAGGTTGAGTGACAGAAATTAATGAATATTATTGTCAAGTCTTAAAGGCAAAATTTTTGTGTAATTCTCTTTCCTAAAAAGTTAATAAAACTATCTTTCTGCTTAGTAAAAGAAATGAAACAAGAATTCAGGCTCAACTTAAAATAAAAATGTGGCTTAGGAGTGACATCGTAATACCACTTGGCATTTCTTAAGTGAGCCTGCTCTTTCTACACTGGATAAAAATAAAGAGAGAAAAGCATCTAAAACCCTATGACATCCCAAATGTGCCCATGAAAGCAGAAATTTTCTGGCTTGCATCTATGCGTTCTTTCCACTTTCCGTAGCCTCCCACGTTATAATGACTTATGCATGGAATTCAGAGACTTTATATTTTCTTTTGAGTGCAGAGTGAACGTCAACATGGAAAATGTGAAGGCTGACCACTTTTCAAGATGGCCACAGACCTTTGAGGGAACCAAATAGTATCCAAAAAGATACTTGGTCAGTCTGGGATACTAAAATTCTAGCACGTGTCAATTTCACCAGTTTTTACAGGGTGCAAATATTTACCTCTCAGGCATGTGTTTAGTCAGAATAGCTCGAAATTTTTGTTGGGGAGTCAAGGCCCTTTACAATAGAATAAAGAGATCCAAAATCAGCACAGCAGTTAATCTTGTTTATAGCATAAATCAATAACTCAACCCATGTTGTGTACTGACAGTTCTTCTGTGGGATAAAAACTAAAAGTGTCTGCTCTGTGAATGGGATTTTTCTTTTACAGTCCAATAATATAGTTTCATTGTGGGGCAAAATTTGGGTTAGTCATTTTTATAAGGTTGAGTTTCCACTGGTACTATTTCTTTCCTTTAACTAAGGGTTTGAAGAATTTAAGGCAAAAGGTTGGATACCTGGTATGTGTTTGTATTCTGAGTTTGTCTTATGCATGATTTTCTTGTTCACTTAAATTTTATGGCCAAATTCTAACAGAAATATGCAAACTAAACTTCTTATAAGCCAAACAGAATGAGACTGAAGTTTCTGAAGAATAGTCCCAATTGTCCTATAGTCATATCTTCCTTTATGTTCACTTGAATTCTTGCATAAATTTAGAGTTTACACATACTAAAGTTATGTGGGAAGAAGGGATGAAGGTAGAATCTCATAATTCCATGAAGACAATGAAGTTTGTTGACTATCTCAGTCTGGGCCTTAGAAGCAGGACCCAGTTTGAAGCTAGGCTCACTTCCTGCATGTATAACTTTAGTAAATTATTTAATTTCTCTTAAGCTTCAACAATACCAGCTTGCAAGCTAGTAGTAGCAGTAATAGGATGCATGTATAGATGGATCTGTCCTAAAGCATTGTAAATGGTATGCGTTATGCTTTCTAATCAATGCATTGTGTGTTAATATGTGAGAAACTGGATTATTCCATGTTTCTCAGTCACTCCCTGGAGTAACTACATACAGGTCATTTGGGTTCGGTGTTAGCTCTTTCACACACTGATACATTACACATGCTGTCTCTATAGCTCAAGTTTTGCGTGAACAGTTCCCTGGTGGCTTTTGCTGTGATTCAAACCAAACAGTGAATAGATTTATTTAACAACTTGTGTTCACAAAAGTAAATCAGGAAAGCATGCAAGCTAGAACAACATGTTTCTTCCAGTGATTTTTATTAAGTATTGCATTTCACATATTTTCTTAATGGAGTTTTAAATGTTCAGTATGTATATCTTTATTCATTAGTGGACCAATCCAATTGCCTTTAAAAGTGTTGCTGATGATTTTTATCAGAAATATTCAATGTAAAATTTGTTACTAATATTTAGGCTGCTTCTTAAAGAAATAATGTTATTAAAGCTAATAAACAGAAGCTTTATAAAATCTCTTAATTTTGATAGCATAGATTAAGTCTTCTCTTTTCTAAGGTATATTTTGACTTTAGAAATGTATCTGTGACTATACATATTTTTTAATTTTTAATAGGTGGCGAAATGACAGAACCCATTCCCTTCTTTGATTGGTGATTTTGAAATAATCTTTCATCAAGTTCCATCTCCTTTACCCTCATATGGAATATATCTCTATGTCTGTTGTTAAACTACGATGACATGTCTGTAGCTATCAGAAAGAGAAGCTGGGAAGAACATGTGACCCACTGGATGGGACAGCCTTTTAATTCTGATGATTATAATACAGCATGTCATCATGGACTTGTAGCTGACAGCTTGCAGGCAAGTATGGAAAAAGATGCAACTCTAAATGTGGACCGCAAAGAAAAGTGTGTTTCACTACCTGACTGCTGTCATGGATCAGAGCTGAGAGATTTTCCTGGGAGGCCAATGGGTCACCTGTCAAAGGATGTGGATGAAAATGACAGCCATGAAGGTGAAGATCAGTTTCTTTCCCTGGAAGCCAGCACAGAAACACTAGTGCATGTTTCTGATGAGGATACCAATTCTGATTTATGCCTTACAGATGAGAAACAGGTTTTGAATACCCACGGGCATAAAACATCAGGGCAACATATGATCGAAGGAGCAGGCTCCTTAGAAAAGGCACTGCCCATCATAGAAAGTAACCAAGTTTCTTTTAACTCCTGGGGAATGGCTGGTAAAACTGAATTAGCACTGGTAAAAGAAAGTGGGGAGAGAAAAGTTACTGACTCTATAAATAAAAGCCTGGAGCTTTGCAATGAAATAGGTGTAAGTGAAATAAAAGATGCACCCACAGTAAATGTAGTTGATACTTTGACTGTGAAAGATATTGCACCTGAGAAACAATTGCCTAATTCTGCTGTAATTGCTCAGCAACGAAGGAAACCTGACTTCCCTAAAGATGAAAATGAAAGAAGCACCTGCAATGTAGTACAAGATGAGTTCTTGGATATTCCTTGTACAAACAGAGGACTGCCATTATTAAAAACAGATTTTGGAAGCTGCCTTCTGCAGCCTCCTTCCTGTCTCAATGGAATGTCAGCTGAAAATGGCCAGGAGAAGAGTGGTTTTTCACAACATCAAAACAGAAGTCCACCAAAGGTCAAGGCAGAAGATGGCATGAAGTGTTTACACTTAAAGGAGACCCTGGCCACCCAGGAACCCACAGATAACCAAGTCAGACTTCGTAAGAGAAAGGTAAGACGTTTGCACAGATTCTCTGGCTTTTGAAATTTTGTAAATATCCTTGGATTCATCAGTTATCATTTTGCTTGGATTAAAAAGATATGAAGATGGTTCTTTTGCTCTGTCATGCAGATGCATAATTCAAAGACTACTCACTTGGTCAAACCATCAAAATATGTAAAAATTAAAGAATAATAATCTATCCATTTCACTAATAATATATACAATGGTTTATGAATAATCTATTTCAGAATTGTATTGAAAACAAGATTGGTATCCCTTTCTTTAGCTGGAATTAAATAGCCACCAGATTGCTCATAAACATGCAGTTCAAGGCATTCTGTAGAGTGATTTCTGATTTTTATAAAGAAAGTCATGGTACTGTTATATCATTTATTTGGGCATATTTCTTTTTCTCTTCAAAAAGAGTATGTTTTCATAAGAAAAAAAGAAGTGGTATAAATCACATATTTAAAATAATCCCTTTACATATACAAAGGCAAAACTACTCCCACCCCCAAAATGCGCTGATGCCATTTTCAGTGATACCCTGGCATACTCACCATCAATAGATATATCACAGTCTCTGTTTCTTGACACAACTGTGACTTAACTGTTGACCAGAAAGGGCTAATAACCGAAATTATGTTTTATGTTACAGCCCCTTTGAGTAATTCTAAAAATGCCATCCTCCCCTGCGAAGCTTCCAAGTGAGAGAAGCAAGGGCTCAGATGGTGCTACCTGAATTATGGTTTAGCAAGTGAACCCTTGACCAAAACCTATCTTTTCTACAGAATTTCCCCACATTTCTCCAAAAACCGTAGTGAGTTATAGTCCTGATATAAGTCCAAGTACAGTTGCTTCTTCTATAAACCCCACATGGCCATTGGCATTGAAGAAAGCTTACAGTTTTGACACTGATATGCACCGATTAAAACATATATCCTTGCCCCTCTCTTGAGATATTCATCCATAACTGCAATTCTCCTAAACACAAAACTAATGTTCTTTGTTCTGTTCAACTGGAGCTATCTACCATGAGAAAAAAAATCTCCTACTTTCTTTGTAGTGAAGAAATCTGGTTTTCATAGACTGTGGTTTTGCTAACAAACTAGTTCAGTAATGTGTCGTGAGTTAGTTTAAATGAAGTCAAAGACTTTACAGCAAAAATCAGTGTCCACAAGCTATATGCCAATAGAGCATTTTGTGCTTCTGGCAGACTCTCCCTTCCTTACATAAGTTTTATGAAAATGTTAATTCTCCATAAAGTTGTTATGATTAAAATGATTAGGTCACTCTTTCAAAAACTTTCATATATCCTATCAAATCTGTTTGAGGGGATGCTATGATCACATTAGACAGTATTAACTGACCTATGGCATAACTCCCCTAAAATAAAACAAACTCCGCCCAACTGCCAATGGAAACATTAAACATTCCAGAAACATACACTCACCACTTGAACATTTATATCAATACTGAGAATGCTGGAAAGAATTTACTCTTGGACGTGTCACTATAGCATGGTTGCCTTTTGAGAGTTATATCTCATTTACAAGTTCGAATTTAAATATTCTATTTTAAGCATTCTGTCATGCTAAAGTGTTGTGACATTGTCTGATGGAATATTTACTTTAACTCTACAACCCATTTAGGATGCCTTCTAATAAATAGATTAAATGAAAAATTTTAGGTTGGGAATTTACCCTAGAAAACTACGGTTATGGGAGAAGTCCTTAGAACTAAAATGTATAAGAATTTTTGTTTTATGCATTCTTGGATGAGTGTTAAAATACTGTGGAATTGGCAATTCGTCATTTTTAGAAATTTACCAGAAGAAACAATAGAGAATATTCATAGAAAGATACATACAGAGGTGTTCATCATTATACTGCATGTTACTGAAAGAAAAACGAAACAGTCTACATTTGCATCAATAAAGAATTTGTTTAGGCCGGGCGCGGTGGCTCATGCCTGTAATCCCAGGATTTTGGGAGGCGGAGGCGGGTGGATCACGAGGTCAGAAGATAGAGACCATCCTGGCTAACACGGTGAAACCCCGTCTCTACTAAAAATACAAAAAATTAGCCAGGTGTGGTGGCAGGTGCCTTTAGTCCCAGCTACTCAGGAGGCTGAGGCAGGAGAATGGCCTGAACCCCGGAGGCGGAGCTTGCAGTGAGCCCCACTGCACTCCAGCCTGGGTGACAGAGCAAGACTCCATCTCAAAAAAAGAAAAAAAAGAAAGAAAAGAAATGGTCTAAGAATTTGTTTATTATTTATCTTGTATGGAATACTGTGCTGCCTTTAAAAAGATGGAGTGAGATCCAAGCACACTAACTTTTAAAGAGGTTCATGATATAGTATATCTGAAAAACAACAGTAGCAGACTAATATGTATAGATAGCCAAACCTTAATGTCAAAATGTGTATGTGTGTGTGTACATGTGGGTGTGTGTGTATATATATATGTGTGTGTGAATGCAGACAGTAGTATAAGCCTCTCTGTATGACTGAATAATATGTGAAATCCTGGCTAAATAGGCACAAAATTGTTAACAGCAATTACATTGGATGAGTGGAGTTAAAAGAGCAGGAGAGGGGTTTTCATTTTTTACCCCATATAATTTTTATAAAAGATCACAGAATTATGTATGAAATGCATACACTGAACAGAAACACACCAAAAAATAATATTTAATGTATAAACTGAGGCATTTTCTGCATGGCACAAAACCTTTTTTTGCATTATTACTATGATTCTTACTGCTTTTATAAATTATAAACAAATATTTATAAAGTTTTTCACACTATTGACAAGAGTTCTAATCAACTAGTTGATGTCTAATACTAGTGCAACTAGTTTAGAAGAGATAAGTTTTTTGGAGGCACACGTGTGCCACATTTTCATGTCTGTAGGGAATGTGATGCCAAATGGTCAAGTGGTAGAAACAGTCTGCTAATTGTCTATATATTTAAAACAGTCAGCCATAGTAATACCTGTAAGAAAAGAACTTGGAAAAGTGAAATCGTATAAAGGCTAATATCATTTTAGTTATGGAATTGTAATCAGCTCATTATCTGATAATCATGTGAGTGAATCAAATCCTTTAATAAATTTGTGCACATCGATTTCTTTTGTCAAGATAACATCAAGATTCTAAGACTTGAAGAAAAAAAAAAAAGAGCTTATAAGGGTGATCTTCAAAATGTATTGAAATAGTGCTCTAGAGATATGATTGTGCTTTTGATATAAATTATCATTTCTTGAAACCCACAAATCTTGGCAGGCATTCATCATTTTGCAAAGCTTAGTGTTACTTAGTTTTTGATGATATTTCTGACTATCAGAGTTTAGTCACACATATATTTATTAGGAGTCTCAGTTGGAGGGGATTACATTTGTAGTATATGTACTACAAGTATATGCCTATGTTTGTAGTATATATGTAGTATATAGGGGATTACAAATATTGACCTTTTAAGCCAATAATTCCTCTAAATAGGATGAAATATATAATGAAATTGAAGCCACTGATATCAAAGGAAGACCAAATGAACTGTGAGCAAATGTTAGAGAATGTGCCATAAGGTTGGGTGACATATGACCAGCACTCACAGGGCCTGGCTGGTCTCTGGGGTGAGGCGGCTGGTTAAAAGCAATTCTGAGACAAATTCCAAAGTAGTCTGGAGGAGGAAGACAGTCTAAGAAGTGGTCTCTTTAAACCAGACGAGATATGAAGATGGAAAACATTTAGGGAAAGACTTGAGGTTAGACATTTTTTCTTAAAGAAGTGGTTTACTAATTAGAGAGAGTCCAGAATTCAGTCGTCTGTAAAGACTACTTAAACAGTTCTGAATTTTTTGAATAACCATAATAATTATATAAATGTCTGAACATATGTTTATTTGCTCACATAAGAAATAATCCATATTACAAAGCAAAATAAACTCCAATAAAGATGCAAAGATAATGTGAACTATAAGAAGACACCTAATTCTACATTCCAACAAAAATCTCATATTACAACAACAAATTAAATGAATGTTAGGCTCTTAGTTTATCCCTCAGGTTTGTGTGTGTTTGTTTATTTCTTGGAGATGGAGTCTTGCTTCCTCACCCAGGCTGGAGTACAGTGGTGTGATCTCCACCCACTGCAACCTCCGCCTCCTAGGTTCAAACAATTCTCCTGCCTCAGCCTCCTTAGTAGCTGGGATTACAGGCATGTACCCCCACATCTGGCTAGTTTTTATATTTTTAGTAGAGATGGGGTTTCACCATGTTGGCCAGGCTGGTCTCAAACTCCTGACCTCAGGTGATCCACCTGCCTCAGCCTCTCAAAGTGCTGGGATTACAGGTGTGAGCCACTGTGCCTGGCCTATATCTCAGTATTAATTAGGCTATAGATTTGTCTGCTATCTCAAAAAACATAATAGTGGTTCAAGTGACATATTTCTCTCACACACATACAATAGGGATAAGAAGTTCTGAACCAATATATAGGCTCTGTGCCTTGAGAATCCACACCCCTTTTATCTACCCTCTCTGCTGTCTTGAGTCCTCATCTATATTCAAGTCAGTGGGAAGACGAAAGGGTACAGGGGTGATCACACCCGTGTATACAGGCAGTGCCCAAGTCATGGGCTTCACTGCAATTTCATGGGCTAGAATTTAGTTTCATAGGCACACCTAGCAATAAGGGAACTGACCATTGGAATCTGCATTCTGGACAAGCCGATTATGTTCGCTAAAAGTTCTATTATGTTCGCTGAAAGAACCTATGTTCGCTAAAAGTTCTATTATCAAAGAAGTATGGGACAATTTATATTGAGAGATAACTCATAACATAAATATTGAGGAATAATGCTCTAACATAAATATATTCCAATATATTGTGACATGTTGTGAAAGAAATAACCAAGCTACATATATGTTCTGTGGTATTCTGTATAAATACTAGGTGCTTTAATTTCACACAACAGAATACCTTTCCTCATTATGAAACTATTTGATA